TTTCAAGAACTTCCGAAGCCAAGAATGAGAAATTGAACTTATATTTCGGATCCTCAAAGAGAGTAGTTCAATTTAAGTTGTTCAAATAATTTTAGACACAACGTGCTCTTATCATGCTTCGTCTAGCATGACTGCTCATAAGTTCTTCCATTGCTCCCGACTTTTGTACTCGGGAAAATTATTTCAAATAAACAATTAATAATTGTCTTGAAGACAAATTTAATTTTATTAAAGGAATTATGTCTTATTAAAAACAAAATTAAAACTTCAAACTAATATTGTCTGATGAAATAAAAAACAAAGCAACACTCTAAATCTACTATTCTTTCTTCTTACGAGCCCTTTTCTAGTTCTTATTTCTTTCTTCATCATCTAATAATCCCTTTACATATAGCGGACCCTTAGATGAGCGAACTGAAACCTTTGAGGAAGAAGTTTCTCCCTTTTTAACCTTTTTCTCTTTCTAAACTTTTCTTTCTCTACAGAAATTGCTTTTCTTTTTCCTTTTCCCTCAGTAGCACGTTTCTTTTAGGCATGATAGGAGTCTTAAAGATTATTCCTAGACTTAGGCGATCTTCAGGAGGAGTCTTCTTGTCCCTAAGACGGTCCTTTATCTTTAGATTTTAAGCTTTATTCTTGTTCTTTAAATTTCGAGAAAGTGACCATTGTTTGAATTCCCGAGACAAAGGAGAGGGAACACTATTAGATGTAATAGTCCACAATGGTCTCAAATACCAATAATCGTCAAATCTTTCAACATTCTTTGAGAGAGAATATTCATGAGGTCGACGATCATCACCAACAGGGATAGTTTGTGCAAGTCCATATTTTCTCATGACTCTAAAAGAAAATAAAAGGTCAACTTTGACAAGCTCGGGATATGACAGAAAGGTTGATTGCGAAAGAGATGGTTTCCTTCAAACAAGTGTATTATTCCTATAGAGGGTTCAGATTAAATTACAGAGTTAATTATGAAGTAAAGTAAAGTGATCCGAGAGTCGGGCTAGAGGCCCTCTTCGATCAGTGAAATTAATTATATTAATCTCAAAGATTTCCTTTAACTGAACGCGACGTGTCACACCCAAGCGTGTAACCAAACTAAGGCGACAAATTAAGCCGAAGGCCTTAATACGTCAAACAAGAGGATACGTACTCCAGCGACGAATTCCGAGCTTAGAGTGTCAAAGACGAACGTCAAAACGTCGAGTGGATTTTAGAAAGCGATGAGACGTGCAAATAAGTCAAACCGTATAGTCCTAGCCTCACATCAGCCTAGCCGTGCAAGGGCTAGGCGAGGTTGATGCTACGGCAAACCTAGCACTGGCCACAAGCCAAGCAACTAAGTGCATGGGCTGGCCGGGGCCATCTAGCCAAGTGTGTGGTGCATAGGTATGGCAAGCAAGGCCTAGCAGCTAGCGTAGCTAGCAAGGCCTTGCTAACGTATGATGCAGCTAGCAAGCACCAACAGCAGTCTGGCTTGCGCTTGTGCTTACGATGTAGTACAACAGCCCAGCAGCAATAGCGGCCCACAAGCGTGCGATGCCTGCTGTACTACAATGTGCCTCGCTCTCTAGCTTAGCCGAGAGCACAAGGAAGATAGAAAAGGACAGCCTTGATACTCTAGGCATAGGGGCCAGCTGAGGCACAAGGCTGCTACCTTGGCAAGCCTTTTTGCCCAAGCCTTGATCGGCCATAAGTTGTTGTGATTGGTGGGTTTGATGGTTTAGGGAACAAGGAGGCCATGTGGCTCTCCTTGTGGTCGTCACCTGACCACTCCCATGTGATTTCCACTTATTGCTTGACTATTTGATCTAGCTATTTAATTTATTTAAGAATAAATTAAATACTAGATTTTCTAAACTTTACAAAAGTCCCACATTGAGTAGAAATTAAGGGGATGGAGATGCTTCTCCTATAAATACCCAAGGCCTCCCTTGGGAATTGTTGCAAGAGTTGAACTCTATACAAGGCGTTTCCATTGAGAAAACCTTATAAAGAGATCCTCTTGTTAGTATTGTTAATATTACCCTAGCTGGAAATATTAGCCAAGTTTAGGCGCGTGGGTGGACTACGCTTGAGGGGTCGCATTTGAGGCTCTTTCTCCATTAGTGAGATCGTCCTCGTGCTATGTGGAAAACACGCATCAAGTGTATGATCGTCTTTTCCTCTTTCTCTCTCTCTCTCCCTCTATTATTATGTGTTTATTGTTTAATTAATTGTAAGCATGTTTAGTTGTTTTAATTTATGCACAGATCTTTGGGTGGGTTTTGTTTCCGCACGGTGTTGGACACTGCAAAACCCTACATATTGTTAACTCCATTAATCTTATATATCAATTTTCCATTAAGGAACGACCACTTGATGGAGAAATCACGAGTCTGGAATATTTTGCTCCACTGTTGATAGTCCATCCTTGTAGAAAACCGTTTCTTCTTTCTCACGAAGCAATTTGGAGTGTATTCTTCGACATCATCATGAGGATAAATTAATCCCAGTTGCTTCATTAGCTAAATCTACAAGCATAGAAATTAAACATTGTTACATTACAAAATTAAATATTTTTTTTTATTTCTATAATTAAAGTATTGATTTTCAACCTGCAATAGTAAGGAAAAATACACTTTAAAAATCTTTATTATGGGCGATTTACTTTCAATAATCCCAACAAAGGTTTATTTTTTTAATAATCCCAACTATAGGTTTAGTTTGCCGCCTATGGTCTGAATGACCTGTGACCTGCTGTAAGAGTTTTTGTTTTTTATTTAATCGCCACGTGTCAACAGTTGAATGGTTTAAAATTAAGAATTAAAAAATACATGTGAAATATAAAAAATAAATAACAAATTTCCAACCACCCATTCCCCACCCCCTAACCTTCCCCGGATCCTAACCCAACCCTCAATTTCGCTGGAAACCAGCCAACTAGCCCTCCCCATGCCTAAACTATGTCCTTAATCCAATAATCCCCAATAAATATAGTAAATCCCTAATACTCTGCGTTTCACAACAATAGAAATAACTGGAAGTTTCTTCAAGAAACCCAAGAAAAGTTTCTTCTTCCATGTCTTCCTTCTTCATTTTCTCTTTCCTCTTCCTCCTCAACTTCTCCACCATTGTAACTTACGCCATAGAAATCAACTTCACCACCTTCAACATCGCCCTAAACCCATCATCATAACCACCGCCATCACCATCACATCATCCGTCACCCTTAGTCATCGCACGACCACCGCTAGCGCACCTCCAAGAAATACCGCAACAACAACAATTCAACTCAATCATCGACCCAATTGTCGTGGTCGGCTGTCCTCCACCACGCATCCTCGACCCTTAAAACCACCCAGCCAGGCCTCCTTTTCCCTCAAAACCACCCAACCAGCGTGTTTTAAGTGGTTAAAGGGGGTTTTAAAGGTAGTTTTAAAGTTCAGGGAGGGGCTGGATGGGTGCATTCGGGGGTTGGGGATGGATGATAAAGATTTACCGGCATTTTTGGTGGTTAAGGTGGGTTGGCTGGTCGATTTTTGACATGATCAGGGGTAGGGTTAGGGTTCCGGCGATATTAGGGGTGGGGAGAGGGTGGCTAGAGTTTTGGATATTCTTTTTTTATTATTATTATTTTTCTTAAAAAATAATTAATTTTTGTACCAATCACGTGTTAACACGTGTCATGATCACCTGTTATTACTGGTCATTCACTTATCGTTGACTGGTTGGACTATTAGAGGCAAACTAACCCCATAGTTGGGATTATTAGAAAATAAACCTTAGTTGGGATTATTAGAAGTAAATCGCCCATAGTTGGGATTATTAAAGTGTATTTTTCATAATAATAAAGGAGATCCTAGAATTGGTATTTTAGGATCCTTCTTCAATTCATCTAAACTCATCATTGTCTTTCCGACGATTGCAGGCATGGGATTTCTTCCAGCATCAACTTGTTCCATAATTGTTGACTAAAAGTTAACTAAGCATGCAAAATAAAAAGCTCTTGTTCTATAAATGTGAAAAGAACTAGATTTTCTTAGATTTACTTCTTTTCCATGAACTATGAAATCCGAATCGGCTTCCCTAAGATTATATAACGCTCAAATATTTATAATAATATTCACATATTATGGGGATTGTAGCTAGATGCCTAGTATGAAAGCTGAAGATAGCCCCAAATTCCTCAGGAAGAGGGCTAATTTCATCTATTCCAAGCCTAAAACATTGGGTGTTAGGTTCAAAATATTTTGTTACAACAAAAATAAAATCATTATCAAATTATACACTCATAAGATCCAATAGGCCATTCATGTTTAAATATTTAAGCTCTTTTTGCTCACCGTTGGTCAATGACCGACACTAATCACAAGTATTCTCAGTAAAATTCTTAGCCATAATTGCTAGAATTAAAAAGCTAATGAATATGAAAGCTAAGAATTATGGGAATTTAAAACTCGGATGTTGAATTATGCTAAAGCTGACAGAGTCGGGGGTATTTATAACCAAAAAACAACCAGAAGCCGAATCTAGTCAGAGCCTAATTCCCGAAACCAACGTGCGACAACAGAGCCTTCAAGCCGCAATAGAACCATCGCGCTGCATCAAGCCCTATCACGCTGCGACAGAACCATCACACCGCGTCAAGCCCTGTCGCGTCGCGATGGATTTTGACGTCCTGCGACAAAAGCGTTGCGTGCAATGCTCTTTGATTTGGTTTCTGATAGGACTCGTACTCTATTATATATCCAAATTTGATTTAAACTTCGATTCCACACCTTTTCCATCTTATTTTGAATTGATTTTTTCGTACCATCTCCTGTCGTGATTAAAAATTCCATTTTCTTATCCTTATTTTAAATTGATTTTAACACTCACCCATTAACTTTTTTTTTTTTGTGAGACATTCGGATACCCTCCACTTATGATGATAAATGACAGAAACTTTTCGCAAAATGTGTCACAAAACCACACTCACTGAACGCATGCTTATAGCACACACTCATACGCACATAAAATAAATGTAAAATGGAACATGCATATATATACATAGATTGTCGATACATAAGAGTCAATAAAAATGTATAAACATAACAAAAGTCCTATAGACTAAAAGAAAATGATGCGGGTACACTAGGATCCTTACGGATGAGGCTCACAATAAATACCTATGAATCCCTCCCAAAACTGATTCTGAGGAGTCGTCTCCTGGATAGAGCTGACATCGACTATCGTGGGGATCACAAGCGTAGGAACTCTCCATTAAGTTAACTGAGGACCACCAGGAATATTTTACTGATCAAAACTCCCACCAGCGAATGGAGGAGGAAGTACAAGCGGCTGAGAAGACGAACCCGCCTCAAATGCCTACCAGCAAACTTTGGTGGAGGCATGAAAGGCTGAGACGACGAACTAACTCCGAATGACTCAGGAACGAATCCCGGGACGATGAGCAGACGCACCGGTGGAGGAACAAATCCTAGGGGATACTCGTCAAGTGGAGAAGGCTCGAGGTCTAAGCTAGTCTCACCACTGCCATTTGTCTGACCAGCGGTCTCTTCCCGATCTGGAACCTCACAGTATGTCCGACGGCGTCTTACTCCCGCCTCCCTCAAGCCGTCATGCCTCGGGAAAGTGCGCGGCGGAGCCGCATGTTAAAACAAAGGCAAAGAAATACTAGTCAATAAAAAACAAAGAACACAAAGCGAATAAATAACTACTTAAGTACAACCATACCGGCTGAAAGTCAGCTAAGCCTCGGCAAGACATTTATTGACTCTAGCCTGCCAATAGGTACCTACAGGCGTCGGCAACAACCGCCAGCCTCATCATGGTCTCCCGTGAAAACTGCAATAAAAAGTAAAATCAGAAAACAGAATAAACATATTTATAACTGAAGGAAGAATGTTAACTCACCGAACGCATCGAGCGAGATATAGATCGTCCAACCAGCTGCCACTCCTCAGGAGTAGGAGGGATCGACTCCTCAACAGGACTGTGTATCCCCTGATACCGGATAACTAATCCTAGGGGTTCGAAATCCTCCGGACCCATCTCCTCGTACAAAGTGATCAAACGATCAGTGCCTCTCTAGGCTATGAAAAAAAATTAAAAGATCAATGATGATTCATAAACCTCATCGCAATAGGGAGGTGGAGCCAATCTAGGAACCAAGGCCTCCTCATAATCCCTGTCCTACGAGCCCTTGATAGCCCATGGATAGAAAGCCCTGACAAGCATGCTACATGAGGACCCCTGGATCCATCGTCGAGCGAAGAGGGTCATCAAGAACTAGAATGGAGTCAAAAGAGTGCTGCCTAGCCACTCTCTCACCCAAACACGACACGGGGTGAGTAGTACCCCAGAAGATGCGCCTCTATGTCATCATCTAAAATGCTAATGGCAAGTCACCCAAACCAGCCAATGGGAGGTACTCAACCTCAAGGCGCTGAAATAAGAAGACATGGCAGAATTTATGACAATCAAAGTGGATTGTAAAGTACGAGATGTCCTTACTATAAGAATGGCAGCTCAAACAGCAGCTGTAGTAGAGGAAGGACCAACTAAAATATGGCGCCAGCTAACGGCTACCGGTAACGCCCTATCTCTAGGCCTCCTCGAAGCCAAGGAAGGGCATTACTTGTAAAACAAAACTTGCGAGAAATCCAAGTACTCTAAGAACTAGCGAATGATGAAACTCGAGCTTAAATAAAATGATTAGAGGAAGAATTACCTCTACGGCCTTCCAAAGACCTGAGACGGTGACCTTTGTGCTCCCGCTCTATTGATGGCACCCCCTGCTGCAGACTAAGAAGCAAGTCACCATAGGCGACGGTAGATCAGTCGAATGTGCAGACCACGAAGAGATCACGCAGGACACCCAATTACCACAACAACGAACGACTCCTCTTGTAAGAAGAACTAGTCCTCAATAGAGGACAAGAATTCTGACCCTCTGCTCTTGAGTAGTCCTCCTATCATGAAAACCCTTGGCTAAGAGGTTAAAACGAACCGACATCATGCTCGTCATCTTCGACCTCGTGTCAGCCTAAGCCTTATGCAGACTAGGACCCAAAAGATCCTCGACCTCTGGTGACGTAAGCTGCAACTTATCACTCATGGGAATGGGGGAAGGGCTGAACTCAAGTCCGCTAATAATGGTGAAGTCGAGTAGGGTGATAGTCATCTCAACACACGGAAAATGAAATGAGTTCGTAGTATCCTGAAAAAACTCTAGGAGACCCTGAACAATGAAAGGGCTCTTCCTGAAGGTCTCAACAACGCGCAGTAGGGCAGTCAATCCACAAGACTCCCAAAGCACCCTAGTCGCATCATTTCGACTTATGTGCCGATGCAAACTGAGGATGAACTCATTGCCTAAGCCATGGCAACGCATACCCTCCTCTGACGAACTCGAGAAAACTCAGTGAGAAATGTGGTGTGTCAGGACGAAAACTAACGTGTGCCCATCCCAAGGAGAAGGGGTCCAGCCTAAAGAACGACTGGTGGAGGCACGAACCTCACCTCTCTCCTTCTCCTCCCGAATAGGAGAATCCTCCCGATCTTTAGACCGAGAGCGCAAAACAGAACCACAAACGCAACGAGGCATGCTATTTATTCCAGAAACAATAAATCAATACATACAAAAGTTTTCGTTTCCCTAAGCCACATGATACTATATAAGTCAAAATAAAGTAACAAAAATGCAAAATAAAGCACGATTCAACTCGCATAAAAACAAGAAAATTGCATAAAATGATTTTTTTTTTCAAATCTAAAACATTTCTTACAATATTCCAAGAGAAAAGAAGCAAGAAAAACAATGAAGGACAAGAAACATGGTTATCTCGAACATAGAGTGTTCAATAATGGTGAAATGCCCATTTCTCCACCAAATCAAGAAAAATTAGTCTCAAAATGCTCACAAATTAACATACATTCATATACAAGCAAATTCATGACAAGAGTTTCAACAAAAATTAGCAAAATAAGAAAACCCTAATTCGAGTATTGAGGGTTTTTTTCGAACAAAATTCGCTAATTTTCTGCCAAAATGGAAAATAATTTAAGGAAACTTACATAGATGTGTGTGAGGAATTTTAAATGTGAAGATTAGCAAAAAGTTTGAAATCATTTGATGAGAAAATGAGCGACAATGAGTGATTAAGCGGCGAAAACAGTAACAACAGAGCAGCGAAAATGAAATTGAAAAAGATAAGAAGAAGATTTTTAAAGTGAAACCTAATTCTAGCGAAGCGCGACATTTTTATCGCGGCGTGATAACTCTAAAACTTCGTGACAAACCTGTCGCTACGCGATAAAAAAATCTGACGTGACACGTTAGTTTTGTGTTTTTGCAGAACGATCTGTTGAATGATGATTATCTCACTTAAGCCTCCTGATGAGAAATTGGTTTTTTGTAAGCCTCGAGATGAGTAAATTATTCTTCGTGATGAGCGCTTTATCAAAAATCTTGATGTGATTGGTGAGCAGCCCGATTACGATCACATTTGATTAGATATCGGCTTGATCACAATCACATTTTAGTTAGAACATATTTTATTACATGATCGGCCTAATTATGATCACATTGAGAAGTGATCAGCCCGATTACGATCACATTGAGAAGTGATTGGCCCGATTACGATCATATTAAGGAATGATCGGCCAGATTACGATCACATGAACGATGATCGGCTTGATTACGATCACGATTTACAACGATGCCTCGATAGGACACCAACTTGAGCTCGGTAAAATCTTGAAGAGTAAGGTTTTACGGTAGGTTTTCAAAGGCACGAGAAACTATCACTTACAAGGCGTGGGGATGAGAAGATTTGAGAAGACATCTCGAAGCAAAGTGGTGTTTGACAACGCTCCGTAGGAATGAGGAGGTTGTCATTTAATTTAATAAGATGGCTCAAGGCGAAGTAGTCTTGGACAACGCTCCCTGAGAATGAGGACGTTGTCAATTTCTTTGAGAAGATAGTTCAAGGTGAAGCAATCTTCAATAATTCTCCCTGAGAATGTGGAGGGTGTCAAACAAAAATGAGTTTGAATAGAAAATATGTCACCTAGAAACGTGTACCCGTCGATGTTAGATACGCGTTTCATTCCTTAACTCTTGTATTTGTAGAACTTACGTTTTCTGCAAGTATTAGCGTTAAAATAATGATTTAGGATTGCAGAATGTTCTAGGTAATTTTTCGTCCCTATCAATTTACTTTGACTATTGTTTTTAAAAATTTTGTTTTTCTAAACCCAGTCTAAGTGGGGGAATCTTTAGCCACCTGATTGTGCCTCCCCAAACAATAAACCTAGTGATGAGTACCTTTCACATTTTGATTGACAAGTTCGGCAAAAAGTTGAAGAGTCGCGTAAATTTCCTTAAGCCTGGGCCATGTTTCTTACTTTATCAAAAGTGTTTTTCATTTTAATCATTCATTTCGTGTCTTTAAACCCAGAATCATTCATTTCGTGTCCTTAAAACCAATCATTTCGTGTCAAAATTATAAAAACGTCTAAACCTGATTATTTTGGTCCATATTCCTAGTTCAATTGTTGTTTAGTTGGATGGAATTTGAAAAGAGCATTCCAACAATATATTTACAAGCCCAAATTTGAATTAAAATGAGTGAGTTATAGCCAAAATACTAAACCGAGCCAAACTGAGCCTAGGTCAACCGTTAGTACGACACAATGATTATATGGAGTGAAAATATTTTATTTCGGCCCTATATGATCATATTCCTAATCCTAAATCAGTTAGTAAACTCTAGAATCCTCTATAAGGTTCTAATTTATCCTTTTGGAAAAGATAAAGATTGAAGAAGTTTGAGAACGAATAAAACCTCTCATATGGTAATCCTTATCCTATTAAAATTCGAATACGTCCAGATACCTTTGCATATAAAACCTATCGGAAACCAAACTCTGCACAAACTTCGATATCATTTTGGAACAATAACAATACGATGGGTCCATTGCGTCGCGATACACTTGTCGCGATACTCCAAAACATACTCGACGTTGTCTTCGTCCTCGGTGTGAAAGGTTATTAGTTAGAGTGATTGGTACCAAATCTATATTTCAATTCTTAATAAATTATTTACATTATTGATTTAGCTTTCTTAAAGTTTACAAACGTGTGTATTGTTTTAATAGCAAGAAGGTTGAGGCGTCAAAGTGAGTAATTTAATTACCCCTTTTGTCACTCTTTTGATGTTTAGGATAATGCTTTGATTTTGTTATTAGTAACATTCTAGGAGTTATTATTAATCTATTAAGTATCACGCCTAGGATCTTAATCCTAACGATGTTTTGTTGATGATTATGGTGTTAATTATATATTGCTTGAATATTCATGATTTATTGCTTCATCACGCCTCTTTTTGCAGGTTTAAAGAGAATTTGTACTTGAAATCACGCCTAATAAGATAATTAATAATCTGATTTAGGTTAAATATGATTTTAATTCAAGTGATCACAAGTATTAGATTTAATTGTGCATTAATAATCAACCAACGTTGATTAAAAAGGTTTAGGATTGATTCGATTTATGTATGTTAATAAATAAGCGTGCATAAATATCAATAAGAATTAAGTAGAGGCCTATTTAGGGCAGCTTTAACATCTTTAGGTTGGATTCAAACCATCATCGCTAAACATCTAGTCATGGTTTCGGACCACTATAGAGTTAGCAATCTCCATGATTGTGAATGGGGTGTAACATTCATAGTCATAAACGGTTTACAAGTTCCTAAAACTTGTTGGCGACTCTATTTCTCTAGGTTCTTTACCTTCGAGCACCGCCACGCCTAAAAACATAACCCACATGTAGGACGAGGTAAAATTCCCTACGGCTTATTGTATTTTCTAACTCTTCTTATCGTTGTCAATTGAAACAGGGTTGGAAGGGGTGTTTCTCTCTAGAGACTTCTGTTTCGTTTTTGTATTGGGAGCCTGACCTTATATGAAGGAAGTTAAAGTTAGTAACATGATGCAAGAAGCTTGGAAAAATCAGAGCTAATGTGCTTACTAGTAAGAGGGATATTAGTAGTTTTAAGCTCTAGTTCTGTCTTGAACGCAGATTGTGATCTTATCCTTGAACTTGACATAGGGATGTTCTTATGCCTATTACTCCTCGACTTCTATAAGGAACTTGGGAGTCGAAAGAGAGACTGTCTTTCTCAATCCAACCCTATTAGTGTGAGGATGAATGATACTTTTGTGTGAATCATATATGGCCATAGGTTTGTAATTAAACTGTGCAGCTATCTTAGATTAACGATCAATTTGATGGTAAGATGTTTTTGAAAGGATTGGTGTCCTTCCAACTGAAAGGAATGGTGTCCTTCCAACAAGTGTATTATTCTGATAGAGGGTTCATAATTATTACAGAGCTAATTATTCAGTAAGGTCAAGTGATTGCAATGCCTAGGTGGAGGCCGCTTCTGATCACTAATATTAAGGTATAACTAATATTACAACTTAATCTTAACTAAACCCTTCGAGTTGAACCCAATCGAACAACCGATCCGAGACGACAAATTAATCCGAAGGATTCTATGAGTCGTCGGAGTTTTACGAACACTAACGTCGGATATCGAGTCTATGGTGTCGAGATCGAGCGTCGCAAAATCACAATCAACAAGTACGAGCATAGCCGTAGCATCACATTGGCCTAGCCATGTGAGTGCTAGGCTAGGCTAGTTCATCGCAAGCCTAGGCGCACCATGTGTGTGCTAGGCGTGCCATACGTGCTAGGCGCACAAGGTAGCCCATTGCAGCAGAATACTTGCGTGTGTGCGTGCCTTCGCATGGCACAACATCACCGCATCATGCGTGCTTGAGTGCCTAAGGGCTATCGCATCCTTCGCACAACTCACCATCGGAGCACACAACATAGCACTAGACAGCGTAGCCATGTGCGTGTGCATCGCTAGCACAGCACCAAGCATGGCATTCTTGTGCGCGTGGCTGGCGAGGCAATGCCCAGCATGCGTGGCTCGTTAGCAGCACGCATGCTGGCTATGCGAGTGTGTGCGAGAAGGGCTAAGCAACAACACCACGCTAGCAGCGCCAAGCGCCCAGCAGCATGCTAGGACCAGTGCGTGCTGGCAGTACATGATGGGGCTAGCTGGCTGGTGTGCTAGCATGCTATCTGGCACCTAGCCCAACTGTTTTTTTTGGTACCGGTTTGTGAGAGGTGGGAACTAATGCTTAGAGCATGCCTTAGGGAGCAAGGCAATGCCCCCCCCCAAGGGGCATGGTCCTCACCCAACTCTCTCTCTCCCCTTGACACTTGTTGCATAGTGATTGCTTTGATTAATTATTTAATTTAGAATTAAATAAATTATCACATTTACTCACTCTCCCACATTGATGGGAGATTAAAATTCAAGGGTTCATTTCCCTATAAATACCAAGGGTTTGGCATTTGGGAAAACACACTTGAGTGGAGCTATAAAGGCATCTCCACTGTTGAGAATACCTTAAGTTCGTAAAAATCCAAGGTTTATATTTTGTTCGAGTCCCGACTAACCTTCGGGACTTAGGACGATCGTGTCGGGTTCGAGGGTACGAATCGTCGGAGGCCTTGCATTTGCGAGGTTGAAGTAAGAGCTCTTTTAGCGAGCGAAGAACGCGTCTAGGGTATAATTCCTTATCCCTTCTTCTTTTAATTATGTATTAATTATGTTTTGCATGCTTTAATTGCTTTAGTTATTGGGGCGGGTCTTGGTGGGTTCCCTTCCGCGTAGTGAGGGTCACTACGAATCCGCGCTCCTTTTAATTATTGTTATTATTTATTAATTAAGGTGTTTTAAAGTAGATTTAAATTCTGGTTTTATCTTTTCTAATCAGATTAGAAGCTCGTTTTAATTAATTTTAAAACTCGTATTTTTTGCTCTAAAATAGTGATTTTTGGGTGGAATCAACATTCTGAATCAGTTTCAACCCTTTTTAATGGCTGTCTAGAAGCCAAATTCGAACCAGAAACTCGGTTTTTTGAGGGTTTTTTCGTTTTAACCAAAAATTTGAAATCTTTTGTGCCTTGATTATTGCAAGCGTGTCATGGGTAGATTAAATGCATTATTGCATCCCTAATCTACTGCAATTTAAATATGTTTTAAGCATGATTATGGAGTTATAATATGTGCTTAAGTTGATATGTTCTTTTGCACATAAACTTGTTTTTCGCAATTATGGAAATAAATTGCATTAATGTGTGAATACTTGTTGTGAATATGTAATTTTAAGTTCCTAGTATGTTAAATATCTAATCTTTAAATGTTTAAATGATTGAAACTTTAACCCTAAATTCCATGTTGATCTAATTTTGGAT